CCAAGTCCGAAGATCCCCTGGCAAGCGTCACTCGTAAAGACAAGGCAAGTTCAACGTCTAGCGTTCACGAGATTGCAAAAATTGACAGAATATATTCCACAACGACTCCCTTCCGCAACGGGCACGCAAACTTCGGCGATGGTTCTCTAGATTATTATTTTTTTTGTCCGCAATTTGGGAGACGAATAGAAACATTCCTGGGAGGGGACAAGACAAGAAATCCCCGGGCCGGAGAATCAACAAATATTAGAATATGAAGTGATATTTTGTTCGACCGAGGGAACAATTCATTCCTTCCCCTCCCGGGGATCATTCGACATGTGCCCAGGGACACAAAAATCAATTTTCAACTTTCGATCGAACGAAATTCTCAATTAGCCATTCGTGTGAGGCGAGCGCTCTGTACGTGGTTGCTGTCCCGGCAATCCGCTCCTTTCTGACTATGCCGCTGGCTCGAGCCTCGATACCAATGAACAACAAACGAAGAAAAGTTGAAAAACAAAATCCCTGGCAAGGCTTGCAGCATTCGCGAGGCGTTGCGTTCATGATCGAACTTAGCAGGCATTGGCGCCTCTCGACATGACCCACAACCGCCCAATACTTGTCCGGCGAACATCCTGCGATACAAACCAAATCCGCAGATTTGCGCTCATCCGAGAATTATCAAGTTTTGTTTGAAGCACGTGCAGTTGCTATGGACCCTAGAGCCGGCAGAAATGTCCTTCCTGGATTGGCGGTGCCAGGTGCAATACCGACCTTGGAACAATCTCGTGCGGTTGGCTTCCCACGCTCGGTGCATCCGACACGTCCCTAACGGCCTTAGGAACTTTACTCCATACTACGTCCGCTAAGGGGGCAGCAATTCGCAGGTAGCGTGTAAGGACCGCTTCCCGTCAGGAAGACCTCTGTTGTTAGGGGATCGACCTGGTCAATCAAGAACCCAAACAGGATGCCTTTCATCTCTCTGGTTCCGTGTAGCCGTACCGGTATTTCCGGCCATGGGGGTCCTTGGGTTCGACGGGCGTCGCCAATCTCACATCTCCTTTGAGCCTAATCTCCTGCGTACGAAAGCGTCGCCTGATAGCAAGTCGATAGGATGGTTGTTGCAGAATACTTGAAAGTGCGGAAAGCACGGTCGGTGAACTATGTACTTCTACTATTGAAACTCTTCCACTTCCTGCCCATGCACACTACGTACCTAATTCAAACACATGTTACGTAGTGTATCGAGCTTAACATCGTCCCCAAATTTCGTCCCCTAAATACACCATTCCATCGTGCTCCCACGATGTCCTGGTTCGTCTGCATGCGTCTCTGGTTTCAAGACCTAGAACGGAGATATCGTCGATGTGTGCACCACGCAGATAGAAGAAAGGAGGAGAGACTACAGTTCAGCCTTGCGCCACGATTGAATGACAGTTGACAAAGAATATCCAATGAACGCCCTGCGATACTTGCAACATACTTTAAGGTGCGGACAGTACCGTTCGTGAACTGTTTCTACTGTACAATAGAACCGCTAAGAACTCATCCAGCCCATGCACACCGTCCTGCATTGATTCGGGTAACCTACGCCACCTCTGTATGTAGCTCAACATGGTCCCCAACTTGTCGTGCCCTAGTCTAAATGTACTCTTTCATCGTGCTGTCACGATGTCCGGGTTCAGCTGCACATATCTCTGGTTTCACAGCCTAGAACGGAGGTATCGCAGACATGTGCAAAACGTAGACAGAAGCAAGGAAGACAGACGAAGAGTCACCCTTGCGGTATGATTGAATAGAAGGTGACGGCTAATATCCGACGAACAACCCCATGACACCACGCACTACAGAGGCCACCGAATAGCATTCTTCTGAACGAGCCACTTACGTGTAGTTTTTCATGCACGTGCGGGTGCTATCATCCCGAGAGCCGGCAGTAAATGATCTCCTTCCCGGATATGCAGTGGACGGTGTGAATTCAAGCATTGGACCAATCTCGTGCGGTTGGCTTCCCACGCTCGGTGCATCCGACACGTCCCTAACGGCCTTAGGAACTTTACTCCATACTACGTCCGCTACGGGGGCAGCAATTCGCAGGTAGCGTGTAAGGACCGCTTCCCGTCAGGAAGACCTCTGTTGTTAGGGGATCGACCTGGTCAATCAAGAACCCAAACAGGATGTCTTGCACCTCTATGGGTCCGTGTAGCCGTCGCGGTGTTTCTGGCCATGAGGGTCCTTGGGTTCGACGGGCGTCGCCAATCTCACATCTCCTTTGAGCCTAATCTCCTGCGAACGTAAGCGTCGCCTGATAGCAAGTCGATAGGATGGTACAGTTATCAGTGTTGCAGAATACTTGAAGTGCGGACAGCACGGTTGGTGAACTATTTCTACTGTAGAAACCCTACTTCTTCCGGCCCATGCACACTACCTGCCTAATCCAAACACATATTACCTACACCTGTGTATCTAGCTTAACATCTCCCCCAACTTATCGCCCCCTAAATATACTATCTCATCGTGCTGCTACGTTATTTGTCTGCATGGCTCTCTGGTTTCAAGACCTAGAACGGAGGTATCGTCGACATGTGCCCCACGCAGATAGACGGCATGGGAACAATCTCGTGCGGTTGGCTTAGGAGACGAATAGAAACATCCCTGGGAGGGGACAAGACAAGAAATCCCTGAGTCGAATAATCAACGGAGATTTTGTTCGACCGAGGGGGACGATTCAGTTCTTCCCCTCCCGGGGATCATTCAATATGTTCCCGGGGACACAACAATCAATTTTCAACTTTCGATCGAACGAAATTCTCAATTTACTCAGCCATTCGTACGAGGCGAGCGCTCTGTACGTGGTTGCTGCCCCGGTGGAGCAGGGGTACACCGCGCGTTTCTGACTACTAACAGTGTGGCGGATTTGAGCCTCGATACCGATGAAAAACAAACAGCGAAGGTGAACACAAAAATCCCTGGCAAGGCTTGCGGCATTCGCGAGGCGTTGCGATCATCAGCGAACTTGGCAGGCGTTGGCGCCACGTTACTCACAACCGCCCAACACTTACCCGGCAAACATCCTGCGATACACAACCAAATCCGCAGTATTTTTGCGTTCTTCTGAGAATATCATGTGTTCGTGTCAGGAACGTGCAGTTGCTATCGACCCTTGAGATAGCAGTAAGTCCTTCCCAGATTAGCGGTGGAGGGTGCAAAACCAAGGTTGGAACAATGTCGTGCGGTTGGCTTCCCACACTCGGTGCATTCGGACACGTCCCATGATGACCTTAGTTAGGACATTTGCTACATATTTCGTCGGCTAAGGGAAAGCCATTGGCAGGTAGCGTGTCTGGACCGCTTCCCAACAGGAAGACCTATGTTGTCAGGGGATCGACCTGGTCAATCAAGGGCCCAAACAGGATGCCTTTCACCTCTGTGGTAACGTGTAGCCGTTCAGCGATGCTGCGGTGTTTCCCGGCCATCGGGGTCCTTGGGGGTTCGACGGGCGTCGCCAATCATATATGACTTTTGAGTATAATCTCGTGCATACAAGGGCGTCGCCTGATAGCAAGTCGGTAGGATGGTAATCAATGTTGCAGACAACGTGAAGGTGCGGACAGCACGGTCTTTGGGCTGTGAATAATACCGTCCGGCCCAAACCGAGCAATGGCTGAGGATAAGGATTGTAGCCTTACAAATTCCCTCTTCGGCACATCGTGCTGGCACTGTGTTCAGGATTACACTGTTCGTACACCTTGTTGGTTTCGCATGCTAGAACGGAGGTATCGCATACATGTGGACACACAGAAAGCAGCGCCGAAAGAATTCGCCACACGGCCGACCTTGCCTTTGCCCGTCCCTCGAGTTGACCTGGTGCCTCTGTCACCGCTAATTTAAGTCGTTGCGGTCGTTTGGAACAGGTTCACGGCGGGGACTGCTTGAATTGAGAAGAACTACGCCGAATAGCTGTGTCGACGTTTTGACTAACCTTTTCCCTACCCTTATCACTAACGCCGCATTCTGAAAGCCAGCCTCATTTTCCGTTCTTTTTCGGACGATATGCTGTCGTGTCTTGTCTAAAATAGTATGCGATCTTAGCACATTTTCGACCGACATGAAAAATACAATTTGTTTGTTTGTTCTGTGCGCACGTCAGTTTACGCTCACTCCCACCGTTTTGGTTCGCCGGGCGTTGTTGATTCAGCTCCACACTTCTGGGTACGAGGCGATGTAATTGATTCGATCACACATGAGACACACCAGACACCCCACTATCTGCGCCCTCTCCCTCCCCGTTTGTGTGTGTGTTGTCGAAGGCGTCGGTCTAGGGGGATGGGGGTAATCGGCGGTGGGAGTGGCGCCATCACGTACGAGTGGGTGGGGGAGCAGTGGCTGGCGTCGTGGCTGTCGGAAGAGAGAGTCGTCGAGGCGATTCTCGGAGACTCGGCTGGTGTCGGGCAGTCCGAGACGGCGGATGACGCTGCTGCTGCTGCTGCTGCTGCTTCTGCTGCTGCTGCTGCTGCCGCCGCCGCCAAACACGGGGATGGGCCGCAGGGTGGAAGGAGCAAGGGCGATCACCCCGTGAGTGTTGGTTGTCACGATACAAGTGCGGGCAGTAGATGGTGATGCAGATGACGCACGTGATGTAGCGAGGCTCCACGCCAGGCAGGCTAGATGGCTAGCTGGGCCGTTCGCTGAACAACAAGTGAAGACGGCGGAGGGCTTGTCGTGGTATGCAGGAGATCAACCAAAGGACACAAGTAATGAAAACGATTCGGTGTATTCTGAGAAGGATACAGGTACGCGCGCAACCCACGGTACGCTCGTCAGAGCCGGTATCAGCGATGACGATGGCTATGGCTAGATGGCGATGGCGATGGTGGTGACTCTCCCATCGGTGACCCTCTTGCGCAACCTTGCCAGGTCATCCGCCATATACCTGTCTCACCGAAAACGACCGACCGTTGTGTGTGTGTTCATCCCATCAATTCTGGCCCCAGTCTGTCGTACCTGTGTGTGTCGCGTACCAGCTGGGGTAACTCAAGAGCTTTTTATTAATAGTTGTTTTATCTGCCCCACCTCTCCTTCCCCATGACAGGAGAAGAAGGGGCACGACACTCACGTGGAGGTGCTCAAGAGGGCCGACGGACTTCTCTGCTTCATGGCGGATCACGATAGGCTGTCGGAGAAACACCTGGATCTGCTTTGGGCGGCGGGGATAGGACAGCCTGACGCCCAGGTATCTACATACATACATGCGCCCGCCGCGACTTGCCTGCACTTGCACAAGAAAGTAGCAACTACAGACGGCACGCAGTTCGCGTGTTGTTCCACGCACCCTGCCGTGCGTGCTACCGGTAGTTTGTTTTTTTTGTCGGTGCGTGCCGTTGAATCTATCGCCTGCCACGGCAGAGCCATGTTGCGCTTCCTCGTCCCTTCCTTCTCTTCTCTTGTCGTTGACAAGACCCTTTTTCTGCTTGTGTGGTGATCCGTTCCGTCTGTGAAAGACAGGATTCTTTCTCATCAACGGGAACCCTAAAGGCTGGTGCTTGATTTTCTTGTGTTCTCGCGTCTGCATCTCCGACGGTTTCGCCTGTGCGCTCCGACAACCGACCCTACTTAGGTGCGAGCGGTGTTCCGGCTGTTCGAACACCTCTGTCCAAGGCTGGACGGGGGGGGGCTCGACGTTCTCTACGGCCACCTTCGAGATATGCCGCCCCAGTACGAGGAGATGCACGTCCAGCTCATACACCGCTTCGCGGAGGCCGCCAGCGGGTGGGGCGCGCGGGGGGGGTCTGCGGATAGGGCGAACACGTCACACGGTGCGGATGGAATACAGGCAGACGTGAAGGGCATTTAGTCTGTGGTATGAGGATGGGTACAACAGTGGCAGGGCGAGCCCAGTTACTTTCGAGAAAGAAAGGCAACGGTGTGCGAGGACAAGAAAGTCCGTTCGATGCTTTCAAATACGTTTCGACGCGTGGAGCGATCCAGGCACTGCGCGACCATTGCACCATCTTCTCACACGGCGGTGCTTTGCCCTTCCTCCTGCCCGCGCTCGAACCTACTTGTTTCTTTCCAACGGCATACGTGATGTCGATGTTGCGTACCAGATGCCAACCCGCAGTCCATATTCGGGCGTGGCGGCAACGAGCTGCTGTGGGAATCGGTGCAAGATCATGCACCCGTGACGGCTGAGGTGGCAGACCAAGTGAGCGCCCAGCACACAAGAGTTGTTGCTGGTACACTGTGCACAGATAGACACGTAGCGCGTACCAGGCAGTTGCTTCATTGGTACACTATGTACGGTAGTGTCTATGAGTCCTTTGTCATTCGCCAAAGCACTCCCTGTCGTGCGCATTCGCGGGGCGCTTTCCTTTTGACATGTAGCTGCCGAATCTTGAAGTGAGAGAGGGGGGCGGGAGTACTAGAACAGTGTGGGTACATTAGCATGGGCAATCATTGGGCCGTGTTGCTTCGTGTTTTCAAACAAGAGATAGCTGCGGTAGGACTATTTTTCGGGATGAACTTGATTGGTCTGTTATTGGAACATCTTGGCATGCCACAACGAGACCCTTGCATCAGTGAGCATCGCCAAGGTTACCACCATGGCAAGCACAGCCTACCTCCTTCGCCCCGGACAGCAGCATGGCAGACAAGCGCCCCAACATTACCGGGGTCTGTGGTTAGCAACAGGAACCAAACGTCAACCGTATGTAAAGAGGAGCGCGACTAGCGACCAAGGCAAGCTACAGGGGAGTACCCTCCCCCCCCCCCCCTCAAGTACCAACTGTGTACCCCCCTTTTTTCGTCTCTCAGGCCTCGGAGGCGTTGGCTATCCTCCTTTGCCACCCATCCGGGGCGGATGGCGGCAACTCGTACAGCAAAGTTTCGCCCGGCGGACGGTTGCAAGCGGGGATGGGCTACCTTAGTGGCGGGAGCGGGGGCGGGGGCGGAGGTGCGGCCGCTACGGCGGCGGCGAAGGAAGGCGAGATTCACTGGAAGCGGCTAATGTTCTTCTTCGACATGTGAGTGGGAGGAACCGGTTGAGCGCGGTCGAAGTGCTGCAAGAAGGCGGGAGAGGGAGCGAGACCCAGGGGCTTGCCTGCCCATTGTGGTCATAACGTATTTTGGTACAAGTACCAACGGATAGCCGCGACTCTCCCTTTCAAACCAGGGACGGGGAGGTCTTCGTTGTGGTACCGTTACCTGCTACATCTAGGCTATGATTTGATCACTTGTGCAGGCAACTAACTCAGCAGCGACCTTAACAACAAACACAATACTTCCGTGGTACGCGCACCTCCGCCGCAGGTGCTTAGAGAACGTGGAAGGTGGAAAGAGCGTGGCCCCGAGCCTGCGCCTCATGCAGCGCATCATCGACGCGCAGCCCGAGACCTCGACGAACAAAGCCTGGGCGAACGCGGTCGTCGGGGGAGGGGCTGCTGGCGGAGGCGTTGGCGGGGGGGGGGGGATCGGGGGCGCGAGAGGCGCGGGCGGTGCTGGGCGGAAGGACGAGATTTTGGAGACGCTGAACAAGGATCGCAGCCTCCTCAAGCTTCTCGTTGACGTGAGTGGTTCACCCATGCACCCTGATCTGTAGGTCGTGTCTACAGCGCGTCGTATGTAGGTGCCCGGCCGGGGTCGGGCTGGTTGTGTGTTGTTCGTTTCGAAATCCAAGTAAGGGGTGTTGGTGCGTAGAGGCGCCGTGCCGTTGTCGTTGGCCTCCTTGACGCACCTGTGTGTCTGCGGTTGATGGGGCCATCTGTCTTGTCTCGGGCAGTGCTCCTCTGTCGTCACATGGGTTCATTCTCTTGTGTGTGTAACCTCCTCCCGTACATGCTTGTGGATTCAAATTACTTTTCGAACGGCCCTCGATGGAATTTTCTCTTGCACGGCCATGAACCTTGCCTCCTAGACACCCCCACCCCCTTCCCGTGCGCTGCGGTGAGTACACACCACTACCCTAGCCCTCGGCATGCAACAGAAATATCGATTTTGCGCGAGAAAGCAGCAGGTAGCCATGCATAGTACACCGACGTAAACCTGACAGCGTTAGTGTCGTGCTTGCCCCTGCTCCTCCGGATGTATACAGGAACTCCTGAGGTACCGAGCGCACGCGCAGACAGCAGCCACCCAAGAAGTCGGAGTTGCCACCGGCCTTGGAGATAGCCTCGGCAGCGCCGCAAGCGGTGGCAGCGGGGGCGGGGCTGCGGGCGCGGCGCGCGACCCCCTCTCCCTGAAGCTACTCGGGGCGCGCCTGCCTCACGGGGAAGCCCTGGAGATCCGGCTGGATTTCATCCGATTCGTGGTCTCGAAGTCGAATCTCGAGCTCACCTTCGGGCTGGTAGAGTTGCTCTGGAGAGACTTCCTGCAGAAGCCTCTCTGCGGTGCGTGTGTGTGGTTCTGGTCTACTTTTAGGGGCTCAGCGCTCGAAGATTTTGGTCTGGCTTGTTGCTGCTGCTGTCTCGTTGTGTGTGTGTTTGTTGTTAGCGTCGACCGCGCTCACCGGCTGATCTGTGGATTTTAATCAGTCTCATGTGTGTGCGTGCTGTTAGTAGCGGCGATGCCTCGTCCTTGGAGCGATGTAGCTAGCGCACATCCCGGTAAAACCCCAATCCTGCTTCCTCCTCCCTTGCTTACTATAACCACAAACACAACCCACGAGGATGGTGCTGGTATTTAGTGCTTGCGTGCGCCTTGCTAGCTCTGCAGCCGTCGTGTGCTGTCTCTTGCCTCGCTCTGTGGCATCATTTGTAACGGTCCCGGCGCGAATGTTTTGGTGCGTCTGTCACGATCTGTCCGGCCACAGCGACCGAGACGGAGATTTTCTTCGCGTGGATGCAGCGCACGACGCCGGTCGCCCGAGCCACGTCGTACGGTGTCCAGAGCGACCAGGACTTCTACACCATGTCTTCCACGGTATGACGGGGAGGGGGAGGGGTGGGAAGGGAGAGCTTGCCTCTACATGTTGATGAGTGTTGACGTTGGTCGGTGGTTGAAAAAGGTCTCGCCTTGTGCGGCGTGGACATGTAGCCCGGCGTCCACGCTTGTTTTTGTTGGGGATATGGTTGCTCGATTGTCGACGTGAAAGTTTTGGCTTTCGTTCTGTTGTGTTATCTTTGTCTTGCTGTGGCAAGCGGAAGGTCGAGCAAGCAAGACCACGGGCGCTGTTGATGAACGATTATTGGCATTGGATCAACAAAAATCACCTCGTCGAATCTAATCTACCGCACAGCATTCCCAAAGAATTTTTTCTCGGCGTGAGACGGCGCTCGTGTGTAGCCAAAACTCTCATTATATTGTCCGTTTGTAAGACCCAAACGTTTCGGTAGCTCAGGCTCGCGTGAATTTGATGCCGCGCCTCGCAACCTCCCGTCACGACGATACTGTTAAGACACCACAACCATCTCGAACCCTGCACGTTAACGTTAACTGATGTTGCACTTGCGCATCACGTCTTGTGCCGCGATCGCTGCTAGTCAGCAGTGTCGTTTAGATTTGGCGCGCAATCCAAAGCAAAAAAAACAGTACTTGCCCCAATCGGCGTTTGAAAAACGAAAGGTGGTGCACGAAGTGTTTCGACACCTCTTGTGCGAGGAGGGCGGGGTCGACTTCGGTTCGCTCGGGCCCAAGGGCTTCTGGTGCCTGTGGAGGTACTTGTCCGTGGTGAACATGGAGGCCAAGGCTCTGTCCGGGTCCACGGCGAGCAAGGTGCGAACGCGAACATCTACGGCGCCAAACACGACTCCACGGCATCTACGTCATAGACGAACGTCTGCGGTGTTACCGGCTGTTTTTGTTTTTTTCTTGCGTCTGGTAGGAGAGGTTACTGATCGGGGCGGGGTGTGTGGTACTTCGGGTTTATGGTGTTTTGGGGTTGGAGGGACTTCCTTTGCTAATCACGCGGCTACAATAGCTGCGGTTGATCGTGCGCGACATCGACCTAGGTCTTGAATAGAGCCTGGGAATAATGGGAGCTTCTTTTCCTGCTTTGAGAATGTGTACGAAAGGAGATGCAAGTTAGTTGCATTCCCGTTTATTCCGTGTTGCGCGTTTTATTTTGCCTTCTTGGTCTTTCAGTGTGTCCGAGGCACAACAATCCCCAGGTACCTTGGTGATCACCAGCAAGTAAAAATCTTCCTTACGATTACACCTCTCCGTACGGTCCACCCACCACAACCTCACTATGTCGATACACGTCCCTCCCGGCGATGACGACAGAACCACATCGTGGTGCAAGACTTCTTCAGCATCCAGGGTCTCGACACCCTGTGGGAGGCTTTCGTTCGAAGCCGCCACCCGGCCGTGGTGAAGGACGCCGGCGACTTCCTGACGCAGCTGCACTTGCGCCTCAGGGTCCCCTCGGATAGGGTTAGCGACGTGTGGTACAGGCGAGAACCTCCCCGCCTTTTTTTTTTTTTCTGTGCTCGTTTTCGCTCTTGCTGGTAATTTGCTTGAATACGTATTGCACACTTGGGGGGAAGGGGACACCAAGGAATAAACGGGAAAAACCTCCCGTGTTTTTGTGGGAAAAGGGGAAAACCCGGGAACAGGGGGGAGGGAGATTCGATTTCCCCCCCCCCCCCCCCCCCTCACGCAACGGCTTCCTTTCCCCCTCTCCCCTGGGAGGTGGTGGTTGCGGTTTCGCAGTCGGGGAATGAAGGCCCTTATCTTATCGAGCAAGCAGAAACCAGCCCGACTCCGACCCGCTTGCCCCGCCTTGCATGCACCGCACCACTTGCGGTAAGTTTACCATCTTGTCGTTGTCGTTGTCGTTGTCGGTGTTGTTGCACGCAGCTTCGTGAAGAGGTGCATGACCACCTTCGAGGTTGCGCTAAAGGTCTTCGACTCCCCCAGAGGCGGTGGCGATGGCGCAGCGTACGGGGTGGTGGCGTGCGAGCGGGTGATGCGGCTTCTGGTGAAGTTCCTGGATGAGGTGGACAGCCCAACGGGTTCGGCCCGCTCCTACGTGTCCGTCCAGACTCGTGATCCGGAGGAGGTTACCCTTAAGGTGCGACTACCCACCACAGTATGTGTCAGTTATTTTCCGTCAAGCCGCAGACAGAGGCAACAAAGACAGGGGCAAAGTCAAGCTGAGTCAGGGCCAGGTCAAGCCAAAATCGCGTAGAGTGATCGGACACGCGCACACACTGGGTTTTTTCTTTGGCGGCCGTTTATGGTGGCGTTTTTTTCTTTCTCTGCCTCGGGGACGGTTTTTGGTGGGGTCATGATCGTGATGCTCATCGTCTATTTTTTTGTTTCATTGAGGGAGAGTGGACTGTTTTTTCTAGATTGTTCGTTCGTGAAGGTTGCAACAACAGCATCCACCAGCAGCACCATCGTCAACAAGAACGCGGATAATGACAACGATACATCATCGCCATCGTTTTTAACAACAACAACAACAACAACAACAACAAAAAGAATGTCGTCACCCGACGGAATGACAGGTCGTCGTCCGCGGGGCGAAAGCCGGAAACGCCGTGCCCCAGAAGCGCGAGTTGTTCTACGACATGCAGAGGTACCGAGTGACGGTCGGGGCTTTGAGGGGACGCGTGTCTCACGAGATGGCGCATCCCGCCAACCAGGCACGTAAAGTCTTCATCACTTCACCCACGGTGGTGTATACTAAAGCTATATTCCATTTGTTCTGTTGTCTGTTGGAGGGCGAGTTTTGATTGTACTTCCATGGTCTAACCCAACCGCTACATATGTGCGGGTTTTGGCGCATCCTTTTTGTGAGTGTGCCGACGCGGGAGCCTGGCGCCCCACCAGGTGTGCTCTCTCTCGTTGGGCAGCTTGAGATGCGGATTTTGCGATTGCCGTTCTCGTGGGCGTAGCGGGCAGTCCCACTGCCTCGCGAAACGCGAGCTGAGTTATCGCAGGATGTCATGTCATGTCATGTCATGTCATGTCATGTCATGTCATGTCATGTCGTGTCATGTCGTGGGGTTGACATGTCATGTCTTGGGGTCGGTTGTCGTTGGTTTTGTTGCCGCCGTGTGGCGAATGTAGAGGGAGGGAGGGAGGGAGGTATCGTGCGCGCTTAGCTCGGCCGAGTTTGCTGGCTTGAGAGTACGTTTGCGCCAGCTTTGGAGACATGTGCTCATGTACGTAGCTTGCCAACGAGAGCCGTTTGCACGTGAAGGCTTGTGCCGTTTGAAGTTGTTTCTGAGACTCCGCTGGCGTAAACGGATACCTCGTTTGTCACCAAATGTTCCAATCACCACATTCCAGCCACAGTTTTTCATGTGGTACGAAGTTTCCATAGTCTTGTCTCTACGCCCATGGTTTATTTTTTTGTGGGAGCAGGTGGCCCCGAGCATCTCTGATACGCTTGCACGTGCGCCCGCCCCTCCTGTCGCTGCTGTGGGGTCATCGTTACTATTGTTGTCGTTGTCGTTGTCGTTGTCGCTTGTGTTCAGGTGCGGTTGGTCTTCAGCCACAGGATGCTCTCGAAGGATCAGGTGGCGCTGGAAGCGGAGGGCGTGACGTCGTACTGCGAGGCCGTGCTCTTAGACAAGCCGGCCGACGACACGCGGGGGTATCGACCACTTGTGAGTAACCAGACTACTTGTACACCGACCTTGCAGTCGTGTTTGTGTACAGCAGTCGCATCCCTTTTGGAGCCCATGCGAACGACGGAACCTGTGTGTTGGAAGAGAAAGTCTGCAGAAAGATTATGCGCATATATGCAAGGTTTACGAGACACGAGAGGATAGCAGGGAGGGGGGTCTCTATGTGGGTTGATTTGGTGTTTTTAGGTGACCCAAAGTGGTGTAGTCTGTACTCGCCCCTCCGGTTACACAGCGGGTGCAGAGGGCAAGGGACAGCCGCTTTGTACAGTTAAGTAGGGTAAATATGCTTCGATCCGGTGTGGCACGGAATAATTATATTGATAAGCTTGCCTCGGTTGTGTGTTCGCATCGGAAATATATTCCATCATGTTTCGGCGCATGTGACGTGTATATTCCATCATGTTTTCGTGTTGTGATAAATGTCTTCAGCCTCGGGAGAAATCGACCCCGTGGGACTCGAAGCTGGCCAAGAAGATTCCACGCGATATCCTGGCAAACAACGACAACGACGGCTTCCTCCACATTCTCTTCAGGTAAGACAATCAGTCGACAGACAGACAGCAGTGAGTGGCGAATCCTACGGGTAAAGACTTTTGAAGGCATCGCAGCAGTAGCTTCGTTGCGCGATTCGACAATGGCGTGCGATCAGCACTTGTTTTCAGCTAAATACTTTTTCCCTTATCGTGCCTGGCGGGTGCGTGTGGGAGGGGAGGGAGACCCTCGTCCTGTCTGTGAACTCAACCCCCAACGTCCTACGATTGATGCGGCGGTTACTCTATGGTAGCACGCTTACGCTTAACGTTGGAGTATCGCGGGATTTTCTCGCTTCCTCCGTGAAAAGCTCTTTTGCCCTTGGTCTACACCCCAAACCCACCCGGATTATTATACTTTTTTGGCGATGCCGTTGTCTGCCGCCGTCTGGGCTGTTTGTTGCCGATTGGGCTGCCGTCGTGCCATTTTTTGCGGATTGTTGTTGAAACTTTCAGGCTGATGGAGGTGGGCCCGCCTTCCTTGGCGGACGTGACGAGGGCGTTGGTCCAGACGTTGCCGGTCAACGAACGCATCCACAAAGAGCTCAGGACTATGGGTGGCAGGTTCGTATCGTCTCGTCTCGGGCTTAGACGCACATTTAGCTACCATGCACACACTGCGCTTTGTGGAAGCTTCCTGTCTTGTGTGCTGTAGCCTCTGTGAGCTCGTGGGGTAACTTGTGGTTGACGTTCTAAATTGATGATTGCGCTTACTAGATAGAGCACTCAGTGGCTTTTGCTCTGTTTTTTTGGGGCCTTGCTTGACTGGGAGGGCTGCTTTAGCTTAAGATGTTGCCTGCTTTTGCTACTGCTGCTGCTGCTGCTGCAGATGTTGTTATCGTCGAATTCCTGACGTTGCAATACCTCCGCGTGTCTTGAGTATTGACGGTCTCGATGTTATGGGGATGCCGATCGGCGATGCTACTACAGTGGCGCCGCAATCCTCCAGCAACAAAGAAAACGCTGTCTACCAGGAAAAAAAATGACAACTGTTCCTCCTGCCAAACCTACCCCGTCTCTCGCCAACACACACATGAATACGGCCAACAACGACATAGGCTCGGCGTGCGTGTCGGCGGTGCCGACGACGGCAAGGACGACGTGGACGGTCACGACGAAGAGCAAGACGAAGAACGCCTCCGCCTGGGCGGCGAGCGCGAAACCGTCGGTGGGGACGCCTCCGGCGTGGGGGGCGTTAAAGGAGGAGGAGAGGGCGGTTCTTCTTCTGCCTCGGGCCGAGAGGTGGTGGAGGTGGACTGGGCGACGCTGCTGGACGGTTCGCGGGTGCTGGAGCTGCTCTATCGACTCGAGGTATTGATACCCTTTTTCTGTGTTATGTTAATCTGTGTTGCTAGGTTGGTGTTGGTTGCGGTTCTTGTCCGATTCGAATTTCTCAGGGGGTGTCATGGCGAGATTGCCGTATCTCATTCGATGTGTGTGTGTCGAAGGGTGGAAAGAAGATCTCGAGAATGACGATCTCATGTTCTGATTCTGATCGATACCAGGCAAGTTTTTGGGGTTAGTCTTACTGTCAAGAGAGGAAGGTTTGGGGGAGGTCTTGAGAAATTTTCGCCGTGATGTTGCGCAGTTTTTTCAGCGGTAGCCTATCTGACGCAGCAGCTGTGTTGACGGCCCTCTCATATTCTGAGGGTCATAGATGCCTGCTCATGAACAGTTTCCACTCTTGCCACACGGAATCGATATCGTATTATTTTTCTCAATGCGGGATACATCGCGGTATATTTTGCGTCGCGCGATTTCTTCAGGTGGTGTACACCCTGGTAGAGCCCGCGGGGGACGTCTACGCGCTGCCAGGGGACCGCATGGATGCCAGCGAGTGGGTACGCGTCTTTCTCCAGACGGGGGGGATGCAGCACCTTCTTGGCTTGCTCGGGAGAGACAGAGACGGCGACAACGGCATCGATCCGTCTCAGGTGACTGTACGCGATCGTTTTTGTCCGAGTCGGCATTCCTCCGGGCACAGGCGGTGTGTTCCGGAAAGGGAATTTGAACCGAATAATCAAGTTGAAGACGGGTTGCATATTCTCATTGAATTTTTTTCTCGGTGTTGGGAAGGACATATTCTCGTTGTACTTTTTTTTTCGGTGTTGGGAAGGACATTTTCACGGTTATTCATCAAGGCAAGATAGGAAGTCTGTTTTCCCGACGGCAGCAGGTCCGGGCCTGTCTTGACTTTTGTAGTTCACAAGACGTTGGGTTTGTGCGTCTGTAAGAATTGGCTATCTGTCGATGGCAGCGAACAGCGACAGCGCCGAGAGAATCAGAAACGCCAACGCGTTCTTGACTTCTTGACGACGTTCGTGAGCACGTTCTTGGAAACGTTCTTGAGCACGTTCTTGAGCACGTTCTTGAACACGTTCGTCGGGCGAAGGCGTGACAGGTGCCTGCCGCACGAACACGCGCTTGGCTCTTCGCCGCTCCACTGTACAATCGTCGTCTGTGCTACCTATCTAACTGCAGTGTTGGTCTCCTTATGGCCCTTGTTTTATGCAGCCGCTGCTGTCGCCAGTGAGCGTTGTCTACTGTTAAGCTTATACCTACCCTTCTCTTTGTCGTGAAGTCACGTACGACTTACACCATGGTCTCCCAATTGTTGCCCTCCCACTCTCACTCCCACTCCCACTCCCGCACCCCCCCCCCCCCCCCCCCACAA